GAAACAAAGAAGAAGAAGAAAGTGATCGTTATTTGCCACGTTTACATGAGAGCTTTAATTCCGGATAAAAATAATTTAAATCTGAAGTAAGTGTTTGTTTTATTCCGATTTTAAAGCTGAATGAATTTCTTCCTGGATCATGTTTCTCGTTTATTCTTGTTAAAATAAAATAATGCTGGTGCTTCATGTTCGTCGTGTCGTCCTTCGATCCGGCTCCACCAGTCGGGTCTCGGGACTTTGATCCACATCTCTTTGGATTTGTGAGCGGGATGCGGGAGTCGGCCGAGCTTTTGTCTTCTTCACTTCTCCGACACTCTTCCCTTCTCCTCCTCAGCTCACAGACGGAAAGTGTGATGAGACGATTCTCCAGCCGCTGCACGACAATTATCATCAGAACCACTGCGGGTTCAAAAAGTTTGGATGGTGTTTGTGTCCGTGGAGGAACCACAAACCAAGACGACAGAAAAGCCGGGAGCAGCTGAAGTTTGTGTTTTCTTCACAAAGACGTAAATCCGTTGGTGTCTCTGTCCAATCAGAACCTCCCCCCCAGACGCTGAGACAGGATCATAGAGATGCATCCATCAACTGTGGACGTGTTGGGGCCAGATAAACATCAGCCAGTACATAAAGGTTCTCCCTCCTTTTCTGTTGGCTGTTAGGTTGTCAATCAATCACATTTCTAGCGTAACTGACTCGCCGCGGCGTCTGAACTCAAATGCAAAGGCTCCAACTAGAGGAATCCAGTGTGTTTTTTAATAGTACAATCTGGAATTAAAGCATCCATCTGATGTAAAATAACTCTTTTCACATTGTATCTTCTGCACATATTCAAGCACAGTTTGGGTTTTGGAACATCCATTACACAATAGTTCTGAAATCTTCCTGATTTCTTGGAGACAGTCACAGACCAGGAACTATGAAAGTCCGACTATTGCTCCTCCCCCCGCCCGTCCTGAGAAAGCACAGGCTCCGCCCTCCAAACGTGACGTAGGCGACGAGTGAGCCACCCTTCCTCCGCCGTCTCAGGGAGGGAGGGGGAGGCAGGCGTGACCCTGATAGAGGCAGGAATAAACTTTTATTCATCATGGAGACACAGCGGCTGGAGAGTCTGGTTTTAGAGCCTTCTGTTTGGACTTCTGTTATGTGGCCTCATTTTTGACGTTTTGTCCTCATTTCGGATCCTCGGCCACCACCGTTGCGCTCATCACCACAAATCCTCATATTCAACAAACTATCTGGCAACAACATGAGCCACCACATGAGCCACCACATGAGCCACCACATGAGCCACCACATGAGCCACCACATGAGCACACACCAGCGTCGCAACACCGCATGCGTCACTGAAATAAGCGCCTGGTTCCACTGTACGTGTATTTTGCCCTACGCAAGCGTAAAAACTGCAACTTTTGGACGCGCAACTTTTAGAATGGATGGAAAGTGAATGAGGGCGGCTCCACGGTCAAGACGCGCGTATGGAGCAGTGTGTCCTGCGCACGTACATTTTAGAAAATAGGATCCATCATATTTAGGCGTGTGTCCCCATCAAAATACACAGAGAGCATGAATCTATTGTTGCATTTGTGCGTTTACCATCAGCACGTTGTGCTCTTGGGGCAGATCTGTGTCGCGTGAAAGAGCCCAGCTCCACAAAGTGCGTTGAAATGTACTTTTGAAATCCTGCCGTGGTGAGTCTGTACAAAATGTAAATACAAGTGTGTTCAGCTGTTAGTTTCACTTTAGACCTGATACAAGTGACTAAACGCCTCAGTCAAATTTGATCTTTCCCATTGACAAACACAGAGTCAGTGCTGCGCGTGTTTGTCCTGCTGCAGCTGTCGGTGGAGTCGCCTTTACGTTGACATGCGGCTGTAGATTCGCGAGGTTACGTGAGTAAACGCTGACACGTGCAGTGGAGCCAGGCCCACTGCATAAGCAATGTTTGGATGATGAATGATGATAATAGTGATAATAAATAGATAATAGTAGCACTTGTATAGGGCTGTTTTTAGCCACTTTGTTGAGCTCTGTGATCGACCCCCGCGTTCCGGTTGTGTCCTCACTTTTGGGCCTAAGTGTCCTAATGTTCAGAGTCATGCCCTTGGTCACTCTACTTGAAAGTGCACGAAGCACAAGCACCGCAGGTGTGAAGCACCTTCTGCTTCGTCAAATGTGTCAAAGGTGTATCTGCCACGTCATTGTTGTAGCAGCTTTAGTTCGTCGTCATGTGGGAGGGTGGCAGAAATACGCTGCAATTTGTTAAAAAAAAAAAAGCAGAATCAATCTGCCCCACACATCAGTCTTAGAGGGTAGAAAGATCTGAAAAGATGATTTTGCAGGAGATGTGCCCTTTAAGTCTTAGGGAGGGTTCTAAAATCTGTTACTCACTTATAAACTTGAATTCTAAGGTCAGTGACTCTTTGCAAACACCTACATTAAGTCATCGAGGAACAAGTCCGTCTCGCACAGAAATGTCAAAATGGTCTTTGAACCTGTGTAA